TCTATGATAAAAAAGAGGGTGTGTTTTTCTTTTGTTGGGGTTTTGTTTTTGGTGGGGGTGGTTGTGTTGTTTTTTTTTTTAAAAAAAAAAAAGGGGGCGCGCCCCCTCTTTTTTTTTTTTATTAGTAAAAAAAAGAAGGGGGGGGGGGGGGGGGGGGGGGGGGGGGGGGGGGCGCTCCCCCCGCCTTTATTTTTGGCCCAAACTGAGGCCCGAGGGGCCAAATAAAATTTTATTTTAAGACCGCCACCCCCCTTATCTCGGGGTCTGCATGACCGCCCACCCCATTCCCTTGTCTGAAGGTCTGGATCGGCCACTGAAATGGGTCTGATAATGGATGACAGCTAGCTAATTGGCAGTGATATTTGCTTTATTTCTGGGCGAGAGCTAGTGTATTGCGAATATAGCTAACTCCTGCTCTATCTCCAACTGTAATTGCGAAGGGTGTCAGTGGAGTCTCCTTAAGGAATCTGTAGCCGGCTCAGATGTGTATGTAGGTGTTTTTGATATACTAGAAATCCAATAAACGGGCAGGGCAATAGAGAGGAGAAGTGTGACGTTACGTTACCATGGTAGCAATATTTCTGGATGACAACAAAACCAACGACGACGGCGACGGCAAGGAGAACGGCGAAAAATGTGTTTATGTTGACAAACAACAACTTTGCACGTGCATCACGCTATTTTGTACATATCTTTGCCGTCGTTGCACCACTACGACATGAAACTTCCTAATTTCACGAACCCGCTGTATGGAGTAGGTGAACGCAACACCAAAATTGTCGCTTTCTTTTTCTAAACTTAGATAACGATAGATACGGTCCCAAAGGAAATTTCGCCAAGGTTTGCCAAATTAAATGAAACGGAAGAAGACCGGTGAAGTTTGAAACAGTGCGAATAGACTTTGAAGTGACTTAATCGGCTTGTTGTCCTCCCAAAATTTTGCTACCATGGCAACGTGACGTAACGACTTCTCTCTACTGAGTCCTGGTGAAATGGTAGGGGTCAATTTAACCTGAGATCAGGCCCAATTTTAGCGGTTCTCATACATTCTCTGTAACGGCTACGGCCTTGCCCGCCGGAATGTAATTTTCAAAGCGAAACGAAAATAGAGCCTGATCTCAGGTTAAGGTCAATTAAATAAAACTTTTGCAATTGTAATTTACAAGTACTAGCCATTGTTTTAGAGTCTGAAAACCGTAGATACTCTTGTAAAGATTTTATTAATTTGACCGCTGAAGTAATGGCGAGTATGTGAAAACAACAAGTGAATGCGAGTTTCGAATCCCCCTTCAAAAATACATTAATAATTGATTAGCCCCTTGACCTATCAAATGGTCGATAATACATCACGTGCAGTGGCATTATATCTGATAAAACCACCCCTTATTAGTATGCGGTGTTTTATCAGACATAATGTCACTGCACGTGACTTATATGAATATTGATTATCAACACAGCAACTGACGCAACAAATGGTGGATGAATATTTAATGTTCTTTCAAAATTACACACCCAGTAAATAACTATTGCACAAAACTTTTAAATTTAAAAATTTGTCCTTCCACAAATTTTATCAGCCAAACGTTTAGTACTCAGTCGGAGAATTGGCTACAGCAGTGCCAAGCGTTGCAGTCGTTGCACTCAAGACTTGTCAGTTGTGAAGACGCAAGTACTGGATTTCTACTTTCCCACCATTCAGTCATTCCAAAATATTTTTTCAAAGACTAATTTTTCACTTCATCCCTTCCTCGGCCTTTTTACGCTTCTGAAAAGCTCTGGTACAGGACGCCATGTCGTCTTCCGTTAGCATCGTTCGGAGAAGAAAATTTCTAAACACCTGTGAGGTTTGATTTTCTTGCATAATAATTTCATACGTAAGTATAGGTAATAGCATGACTTGTAGTGCTATTTGGCATAAATACCACGAGTGATATTTCAAAATTGTTATACGAAATTTCACGAGCCGTTAGGCGAGTGAAATTTGAGACAATTTTGAAATATCACAAGTGGTATTTATGCTAAATATCACGTACAAATCATGCTATTATTTGTTTATACTACTACCCACAAAAGGTTTGTAATTTTCACATGTAGGTATTTCAAATTAAGCTGAAATATAACTGCTCTAAGCCAATCAAATTGCAGAAATTTCTTTTGTAGTAGTATAATAATGTTTTTTTCGTATGCTAATTTCCAACGTTCACAAAAGCGTCATTGTCATGAACTCCATTGAGATACGCTTTTCCAGGAATGTTTTTGAAGTCGTTTAAAACACTGGCAGCAGGTGTTTTATCGGGTCAAAAATCACTCGCTTTCAGCTCGTGATTTTATACCCGATTAAACACTGCTGCTCGTTTATTAAACATCACATAATACACTTTGTTTGCCCCCCAATAATTCACAACTGCTCCTGGGAGGACTCCATATTCCCAAGAGCGTCTGAAAAAATATAACTTATCCAAAATTTACCAACAAAAAGAGTGGAGGATTTAAGGAAAGTCAATTGTAAATTTCCGCACTCTGTGAAGTTTATTTCTGTTTGAAAAGAAACAACCTAACTTCCCCTCGGATTTAAACATAGGAAACAGAGAAAATCCTTTGATATTTTCTGGGGGGTGATGGCAGTTGTTTTGGTGGTCTTTGAATTTTGGGATATGCCGGCGAAACTTGTCTCCTGGATACCGCAGATGATGCCGGCCTAAATGCACTAGCTCCTCTTGAGAAAGCCATCAGCGCCCTCCAGCGTGAGATACTTGATAATGTATTCTGGATAGCATTGATCGTTGTCGAAGATAACGAAGACCGTCGGATTCTTCACGTTGTTCACGCACGAATCGTACAAATCACTCTCGGGATCGAGGTAATATGTACGTGGCGGTCTACAGTAACTACGTGCGCCGACGGTGTACGTACCAACCAATACCCGGGCCAAAAACATGTAGCGATGATGACGCTCACTTGGTTTTGCGTAATATTTGCTATCTGAGGCATTTTCTGCGAAATAAATTCCTTGGCCATATAAACCATTTCCATTTTTGATTGGAACGCGCCAATCAAAGTTTTGTTTACAAATGGCACCTACGGAATGTTTGCTGGTTCCGTGAAATAACTGCTTTTCATTCGCCGATTCCAGTGGTCTGTACCTTTCCATGTATTCTCTTTTCCTTGGATGAGAATAATGAGAAACAACAATTCTTAGGAAATTCGTCAATCGGTTTCTAGTTACTAATGGCCCTGAACCGTTTTGCATCTAACATGATAAAACTATCAGTTAATGAAACAAAATGGAGTAGTCTGCTAGCCAGGACCTGCGCTCTTATTCTTTATATTTNTGAGAAAGCCATCAGCGCCCTCCAGCGTGAGATACTTGATAATGTATTCTGGATAGCATTGATCGTTGTCGAAGATAACGAAGACCGTCGGATTCTTCACGTTGTTCACGCACGAATCGTACAAATCACTCTCGGGATCGAGGTAATATGTACGTGGCGGTCTACAGTAACTACGTGCGCCGACGGTGTACGTACCAACCAATACCCGGGCCAAAAACATGTAGCGATGATGACGCTCACTTGGTTTTGCGTAATATTTGCTATCTGAGGCATTTTCTGCGAAATAAATTCCTTGGCCATATAAACCATTTCCATTTTTGATTGGAACGCGCCAATCAAAGTTTTGTTTACAAATGGCACCTACGGAATGTTTGCTGGTTCCGTGAAATAACTGCTTTTCATTCGCCGATTCCAGTGGTCTGTACCTTTCCATGTATTCTCTTTTCCTTGGATGAGAATAATGAGAAACAACAATTCTTAGGAAATTCGTCAATCGGTTTCTAGTTACTAATGGCCCTGAACCGTTTTGCATCTAACATGATAAAACTGTCAGTTAATGAAACAAAATGGAGTAGTCTGCTAGCCAGGACCTGCGCTCTTATTCTTTATATTTCGATTTGAATATTTGAATTCGGGCCCGAAAAGTTACCAGGACGTTCGAGAAACGGGCCCCTGGTTCCTTCTGTAGTACCGAGGCACAGATTACGTACAACAAAAGAAAAGACCCACAGATCTTACTTAATCTATTATTATTGGCCTGTATTTTAATTTCAAACAGTTTGTTCATTATAAATCAAACCAGTAGATAAAGTCTACTTAGAATGGTGATAACTAATCAAGCAGAGTAATTGTAAAATTTTATATAATTCAACTGCCGCTGTGTTTTTGGCAAAAGATGGCAAGAAAGAAAAAGGGGAAGGAGAAAAGGAGGCAAAGATTACTTGACCCAGCAATAACTTTCAGTTGGCAACAAAGGATCATTTTACGTATCTGGGTAACTCACCACCTAGCTCTCCCCTAAACCAACATCAACACTTACCAGGAGCCGGTTAGTAATCAGCTCCTGCACTTACTTCTCACTTAAGGCAAAATGTTGGTTTAGGGGAGGGGTAGGAGGTCAGTCACCCAGATACGTATAAGATCGGCAACAAAGATGGCTTACCTGCAATACTTTTCCCACAGAAAAGGATTCTGCAGTCTCTTTATTTCAACAATGACGTCCTCGTCTTTCATTGTATGTCGAAATAAACGCTCCACTATTTTAAATTCTTTTGAAGAAGGTTCTAGCTTAATACGTATATATATTTTTTCAGACGACATTGAAGACCAGTGATCTGGGAGATGACTATTTACGGCACGGTTCCTAAACGCAAAGGGCAATCTTTTAAAAATTTTTTTCATGTAGACATAATTTACCCAGGGTCCCTTTCGATACCAGCCAATGACTGATAGGGCTACCCTGACTTGACTTTGGCAGTAATTAAACAGTTAACATCTTTCTCAGACCTTTAGCATATGTAGAAACGTGTTAACGCACATACAGCTTCCCCATTGGAAGGAACTTACAATCTCTGATAAAACCATTCGAGACACTTGGCAAGATTTGGGGTGGCGAGGGGTGAAGGGAGGGACGGCCTCTTTTTGTGGCTTGTTGCAGTTTTTCGTCTGCCCCACCTGACGTTATCATACAGTACCTGTAATTTTTCTTAAGGTTATCAAGTAATATTTGAGACAAATAAACGTCACGCTAGTGGCAACATTCACGCCAGATTGCCTGTATGTAGTCTTAATCTTGTTTGTTTCAGCAAACAAGCGCAACGAGAGCAATTCCCAGCCCTCTCTTAGAGCGAAAATGGCACGAGATTAATTGAAGTTTTCGCCACTTAACTTTAAAATCTCACATCAAATTTAAAAAGAGGATCGGTATGTTTCGACGAATTTTGACGAGGTTTGTAGGCAAGGAAGGAACGTTTGGAAAAGCCCCCTGCAACAACAGCGGCCACCGCTTTCGCGAACAGTTACTTACAAGCAACGCTGAATTCCCAAGAAAAATCAAATGACAGGTAAGCTTATCAGAAAATTTCAAAAAACCCTAAAAGGTGTTGGAGATTAACGCAAAACAAGAAAATCTCAATGGCTTACCTCTGTGCCACAGCATTGTCTTTTCCTAAAGTAGAACGTGTAATGAGATTGTCAATAACAAATGCATTTGCATTAGGTATTTTTAAGGCGCCTTTGGGATCCTCAAATATGGGTAACTTCAAATTCGGGCAATATATACGTATCACAGTTACGCTTGATTTAAAATTTCTTTGCTCGACCGGCACCAAAATATTCAAAAGAGCAAAATCAGTGATCCTTGCCTGTAGCCAGTACCTTTGTAGAACTTCCTTGTTATGCAAACTTAGACCAGCGTTGTTGTGTGTCAGAGAACATTGGCAATTAAACTTTCCTACCACACTAGGACAAATATGAAGGTACGGACAACCATCGTAATTGCATTTTCCGTTCAAAAACAGGAGGCAAACTTGAGGCAGGCTGTAGCTAACGATCCTTCTGATAAGTTCATTAGGAAACAACTCAAGAAAAAATCGTTCTATCTTGTCTCTGTTACTCTCATCATAGAAGTCATGAGAACGGCTACATCCACCTCGACAATTATCTTCAAGGAACCTTTTACAAATATGCCATCGCGGACAAGAGCCAAGAGAGTAATGGGGCCCTTCTTCAAGGTATTTGGGGCATATTTTTACCCTCCTGTCAACTACAGTACCAATCACTTTCCCATTTTGATCTTTCCGCAAGACGACAAGACCCTCAGATACCTTTTCCAACCATTTCGTCCACTGATCCTCTAAATTGGTCCACTCTCCCTCGCCCCAAAGTCCATATCTGCGACCACAGATATCGTTCATAGCAACATGTCTTTGATAGTCTTCAGCATCCATTGCCACTTTACCTTTCAGGCTGATTCTTGTGTTTTATTGACGTCATAAAGAGGCTTGCAACAGTGTTTAATCAAATTTATGATATAGGACCGTTTTCCTCCACTGGTCTCCAAGCAACAGCAAAGTAACGTGTTTCTAAATAGACTCTCAGCGCTCAAGGAAGCGAAGAGTGTCAAAAGAATTTCTGAGAGAGTTTTCAAATAGATTAAGAAATTACTTTTGGCGGGGAATTCAGATTTTTCTGCATCTGTGGTCTATTCATTGCTCTAAAATACAGGAGTCCTTTGAAATTGAAACGGTTTGATCAGTAGGGCAAGGATATGTTTGTTGTTGTACTACAACAAATCTGGAAAGAAAAGGGTTCCACAAAAATTGTCAAAACTCATGTTGTAGGAAAAATGAATCCAACTTTGCGAATAATCGAGATGTCTAAATGAGGCATATTGAGATTATTTATCCTTACTGATATACAAACCAATCACGCCATTTCCGAGTTACCTCAAGCCTCTGTTTCAAAGCGAGGCTAAGTGCGGAGCTATTGATATGAACACGATTTTTTATTCTCATGCAAGCAAAACTCATTTTCACAACAAAGGTCTGGCACTTGACCTCGCTTTGAAAGTGAGAGGTTTTTGAACTCGATAATAGCCTATTGAATCGTGTAGGAGAAAATTTGACATCGAACAAACTCTCCGCTGTAGAACAATTCTTTTCCTCCAACACGAAGAAACAATGCTCAATTTGGTTGCTATTTAACAATTATTCATCGAGCCCGAATGGGCTCTGAGTCAATAGCGGCCGAATGGGCTATTGACTCAGAGGCCATGAGGGCGTGAGGAATATTGTTGGTTTAGTAAAATCCAATTGAATTGAATGGTTCTTCCTTTGAAGACGATCAACTAGAGGCACATACATCATCTAGAAATGATGAAAATGTTCATGAGGAAGTTGAGTGGGGAAAATGAAGTCACCAATAGCCGGGATCCACGTTTAAGTATCTCTGACTCTGCAACAATCACTGGGGAATGCATAAAGAATTGCAAGATTGGTCAAGATTGGTAGCGAAATGTCGGCTGTTTCTCAGGCTGACTGTGTTTGACACATGGCTTTAAAAGGCAGAAGCCTTTTTTAAGGGAAACGAGGTTTAATCATGAGAATAATGTGACCAGAAAATCGAGTATATGTTTGTGAAAAGTAATTCAACAGAAAGAAGTTTCACAAAGATTCACGTTGTAGGAATAAGAATCCAGTTTTGCAAATAAAGATGTTTGAGTTCCGCATGTTGAGATTATTCATCTATAGTGATGAATAATTCGTACTGAATTGTGTCGACATCGAACAAACTCTCCACTCGCCACTGTAGAACACTTCTTTTCTTCCAAAATTAAAAAAATGCTTAATTTTGTTGCCTTAACCGTAACCAGATACAACCCCACTAGCACGGTCACTTTCATGTCAACGCAACGTTTGGTTTTTACTTCTCATAAATATTTTTATTTATATTTTCAAATAAAAATGTACACTTTTATAAATTTGCTTACAGTAGAGACCTTATATTAAACTCTAGTGTGAGTTAAGAGTGAGAGTGCATAACAGTTTATAAACCATGTTTGTCTACTTTTTAATGCCCCATTCCAGATCATTCCAACCAGCTAAACAGGCTTAGTAAAATCAATAACGAAAACCTGCAATACCGCAACTGCAACTCGCAACTGTTAACAAAAATCTCATAGTATTGTCAGTTTTCACTTGTCTGACCAATGTTAAGTCTTTCCATCTCGTTTTCAGCAAGAAGAAGTGGGAGTTTCGAGGATTTAACTTAAGTCGTCATCGTTATCGATCTCAGTCAAATTTGTACTGAACTCAAAAGTTCACTATTGCATCTGTAACCACCTCCATCAGTGTGAACGGAATGGGCTCTTGGTGTAGAGAAAGAGTCTAAAAAGGCACCCAGTAGCTTGGCCTCCTCAAAGAAAGTTGATGAGTTTTGTCGCGACCCATATAACCATAACGGGTACGTTTGTTGTGTTGTGATGAAGCGAATGGGACACTCAGACGATGAACTAAAGATTTTCCTTATGACAATCCCTGCCTCCAAGAGGGAACCGCCCTGCAATCAACAAGAACAGCAAATACATGTATCGCTTTTTTGAGGTGTGGGACATCGAGGGTGCTACCATTACTTACCATTTTTTCCACCAGGCTGGATATCTTGTGCATAAACACAAAACTAAGGAGAATAACGCGCTACTAAGAATAACCAATTCAGCTGAACAGGCTAAAAAGAGTAGAAAAATTGCATGGCCTCAAATCACAGCCCATAATTTCAGAAGCTTCCCAAACGGAATGGTGAGAACCATTTAATTTTCAAACCGGAATTTGCGGTTTTCTCATGTAAATGGCAAGTCGCATGGCGTCCTTGTGTAGTCAAACGGGAAGAATAGGAACCGAAATAAATGGAACATAATGGAAACTTCTCAATCAAACACACACTGTCAAAATGAGTAAGAATTTTTTTTCTAAGAAACCATTTTCCAGAAGCTATCTTTTCAGTCTTATTTGCCATGCACGAGTTTCAATAGAACACGTAAAAGAGAGAAATACATCTAATAAATCTAATAATCCTATTGATTTATTATTCTTATAGTGACTATAACTAGAAAAAAAGGAAGGGCTGCAGTGCAGGCGTTTTCTTTAGGCCGGGGTACAAAGTACTGAGCAGTAGAATTTGCACGGGTTGTAGTGCACGAGCCACGGAATGTAGGGAAGGGTTGGGTGGAGAGACTTTTTGTTGTTTCGGTGTTATACCCACCCTCTCCGTCTATTTTCAAATCAAAGACGAGACTACAAGCAGGAAAATATTGAGCATTAAAGCTCACCCGAAAAATACACCAGCATTGTTACAGACTACATAACGAAATTGACCACTCCAGAAAATACCATAACAAGCCATAATGCTCTTTGTTTATCACCTCAAAATTTTGCATAAGCATTGTTTTCAGTTTCTCTTGGGGCCATTTTCACCCTCAAGAGATACTGAAGACAACGCTTATGCAAAAATTTTGGGGTAACAAACAAACAGCATTATGGTATGTTATGGTATTTTCTGAAGTGGTCAATTAATACGCACACCTACCTGTGTGGCATTTGCAGTAGGCGTCCCCCGTCACCAGCCCCGGGCCCTTCCTCCTTTCGCTGTTGCCAACCCGCGGTGAGTTTATAAAGTCGTGAAGGGTCACGTGATACATTCACCTCGACCTAAGAAGGATAAAACCAAAACTCGTTACCACTAATACCACGTTCAGCATTCGTCGTGTGTCCTAATGAAAGACTTGAATGCCAGTGTCTTAGACAAGGACAAGTCTCTTGCTCTACTTCAACACCAATATACTAGGAAAACAAGAAATGCCTTCTATAATGTACCAATTGAATCAGTCAAGATGCAAGACGACAAAGGCGATTAAACCACTGTTCATAGGTGTCCATGTCAACAATTTGTAACTAGGATTTTGTGCTGAAAAGAAATGTTTAATCTCTTCTCGACAATAAGCAACGGAAGCAAAATACGAAGTAAATCTTCTAGTCTTATAAATAGAACTGAATTTTAAAATAAGCACCTGGCTTTTTAGTTTCTGGAGTCTTTTTTCTTTTTCCATTTTTTCCACTTCTTTCTCTTTCTTCCTAGCTTGCTTTTCTTCGAGCATCTTTTGACTCTGAAACATAAAAAGGAGGTTAAAATTTAACAAGAGATGCATCATGCTACCCCATAAGTAACTAACTTCAAGTGATACAACACGTTTCGAAAGAAACAAACCCTTTCTTGTATTTTGGCTGCCTCGTCAGCTGTTAGTCTATGAACTGCTTTTTCTTGTTGTTTTCTAGCTTCTCTTGCTGCTTTTAATATCTCCTGTTCTTCAGCCCTTTGTCTTGCATACTCCTCAACTTGAGCTTTTATTTCCAGCTGCAAAGAAGATACAACGCAAAACTGTCAGAAGTCCACAGTCTGTTGGCCAAGAATCCGACGACAGACGACCAATAGCCGAGCTTAAGTCAGTCGAAAACGACGACCGTCAACGACGGACGTTTGGCCCAAATCGACGACAATGGTCCGACGACGGACGACCTATACAGTAAAACCCCGAGACTAAGAACCTGGATTTTTAGAACCTGTCAGGCTAAAATTTGCCAGTTAAACCCCCTCCATTTAAGAACCTGCTCAGCCTAAAATTTGAAACAGGTCCTTATTTTCTAAAATCTGTGAAAAACTTCTGTACACTTAAACAAAATTAATATAAGATATGTCAACTGAACCACCAAATACTCTTAGCTATATTGTATTTTTTTTCTTTGGAAACTAAGAATCTATTTAAGAACCTACATAGCCTAAAAGTGTGCTAACTGCCATTTATATAAGAACCTGTTTAGGCTAACTTGGAAAAAACCAGTTTCTTAGTCGCGGCGTTTTACTGTAGTCGGCCAAAAATGGAGACAACTGACGACCAACAGTCGTCCCATGGAAACCATTTTCACTTCACTTTTCTTTCCTTTTTGGTCTTCTGGAAACATTAAAATGAAGATGACGCTAAATATCACTTTTGCCTTGACCCATTAAGTACTAAAGTGTAAAAGTTAAAATGACTGAAAGAATATCTTCTCTCACCCTTTTCTTTTCTTCTTTTTCTCTTTCCTTTGCTTTATTTAAATCTTGCCTTAGGCGAGCTTCCTCCATTTTGGCCTTTTCTAGTCCTTTCTGAACCTGGACAGATAAAAAACAATGAACTTAATATAAATATTCATTTAAGACATGCAAAACCAGCAATGGTAGTGCTCAAACGTTACAATGTTTGAAGGTCTTAGTAAAAAACTGAAGTTACCCGGTACATTTAAATAGAAATAGCTTGAGCTTTGAACTTGAAAATTTGAAAAGACTCAAGAAGAAGTACGATCGTTTTGCCAACGAGTCGTTTCGCTAACGTCCTGTTTATAGTTCGCCAACGTCT